ATGAGTTACTTAATTCATATTATTAATTTTATGTCGGGTCAAATATAAATGATCTTCTGCTCGACCATTTGAAAAGACAAAAGAGGTTAAATAGAACTTAGAGGCAGAAAGTTGGTAGTGTTGTATTGTTGTCATTATTAAAGCATATAAGTAATTTAAACTGCTATATATAACCTACTTTATGTAGCGCAAAATCACGTTGACCCATGACATGCAATTACAGATTTCATGTTAAAAAAATAATTAATCTCTTTTTGGTCAGTTATGTTACCGCTCATTTTTTATCTTCGCTGAAAATATATATGAGATTTTTAAAATAATATAAGCTTAGTTTTTAGGAAGGATCTTTATATTTAATAGTATACATACATTCATTAGAAAATGAACGAATGAAATGTAGAATTGGATGGATTGATTAACTGTTAGGAGAATGAAAATCAATCTGGAAGGTCGCCAGAGGAACGGTAAACTATTTATATGTTATGCTGCATACTTTATGTACATATATTTTAGACCCCGAGAAAACACAGTACCGTTTTACGTTTAGCCTCTCCTCTCTCCTGAGACGAAACCTTTGAATTTATTGCTTCAGTGTTTGTGTACATCACATCTCAGGTGTTTTGTTTTTACGTACTCTTATTGATTTTTGTTTCGTATATATATTCATAGATTGTGAGTTCATTAAACAATCATTACATTTAGGAAAATTTTATCAAATATATATTAACATAAGGTACCAGAAAGTGCTTTCTATTCATGTGTATTGAATAAATCTTTTATTCCATTTAGTATATTATAATTTATATCAAACTTTACATATTCCAAGTAGAATAATATCTTTGATGGATTGCTTACATTCTATAAACATAAAAAAATAACCCAAAATGCACAGTGAGTGCTCATTTAATGTTATGAGTTCTCATGTTTCAGCATTCTTGAATCAGTAATAAAGTGTGAGCAGTGGTACTTTCAACTTGCAAATACGTATATTAAAATCATAATATCAAGTCTAGTAACATTTGTTTTATTATTCCATATTAAAATTTGCATTTACATTTAACTAATGAAACAGTCAAACCTTTTTATGAGATTATTTTATATACACATACATATATGTAAAGTTCCGTGAGGCGTTGTAATATTTCATATTTTTATATCTTAGTGCTAATGTTATTCAAAAATACTTTACATTTTAATTAAAGCAAGTCAAAAGTGTCTTCACTCTCTTAATTTTAGGGTTATTAAGAATAATTAGATTTAATGATGAGAGTGACAAATTATATTTTTTTCCAATTTTGTGTCACGAATAAAATTCGCTTTATAAGTTTATGTTAAAATACTTAATAAACGCCGACTGACAGTGATAGATTTCGATCAATTTAACAGCTTTAACGAATACCTATATCACAAATAAAAGTCTATCAAGTAAATTAGAGCATAATAATAATAAAGACTAGAGATAAAAATGGTATTTAATTATTATTACAATTCATTACGTCCTTAAATACTAGTTTTATAAGTACGTACTCTCTTCTTACCTATTAAGATGTAATCAATAGAATGAAATGAGAAATGTATATAATAATATATATAATAGAGTTAGAAAATCTTAATGTGTATCATGTTTTATTTAACGACCTGCTAACATAAATATCATCATCATCATCATCATCAGCCTATCAGAGAAAAGGCTTCTTCTGACATGAAGAAGATTTGAGCAAATAAATAGAAATAATTCCAATATCAAAACTGTTTTGCTTCAACAAAATATTTAAGGATAGACTTTTATCGATACTATTTAAAGTTAATAAATTTGTGAACATTCGATTTAATCCCTACTAATATTATAAATGCGAAAGTAACTCTGTCTGTCTGTCTGTCTGTTATGCTTTCACGCCTAAACTACTCAACTGATTTTAATGAAATTTGGTACAGAGATAGAGTAGACCTTGAGAAACAACATAGAATAGTTTTTATCCCAGACTTTTGAAAGGTTCTCTTGGAAACGTGATATAGCCAAAACCCACGCGGGCGAAGCTGCGGGAGGAAAGCTAGTCTGTTCTATAAAATAGGTACTCATTGTTTTTTTTATTAATTCTACATACCAAAAAACAATTAGCTAAAACTATTTACAACATGTTCTGTGGAAGAGAAGAACATGTTGTGCCGACCCTACATAAAGTGGGATCAGGGCAGGAAAAAAAATTCTACATACCAAAATATATTTCGGTTTTCGTTAACGGAATGTAACCGAAGGTACAAATATCTGTCAAGATGCGGAAACTGTTAAAAAAACACGATTTAAACAATAAAACCTTGTTTACACTCCAGGTGAAAATGAAATTAAAAATATAATTTTATGTCCCCATAAACATGCTCAGAGTCATCCTTGCTAGTTTCAATTATAGCTTATTGCTGTCAACCCTTTAATAATAACCTTTAGCATGTTATAAAATTATGGAGAAGGAGCCGTTAAGATATTGTAAAGTATGCATTTTAATCAAAATTGTTCTGCCTTATAACGTTGTAAACGATTAAGGATAATAATAATTAATGATAACTTAAAAGTAATATTGTATTGTTTAAGAACTTTATTTTAAACTTCATAGTGTAATAAGAGATGTTTCCTGTAGGAATGATTATATTTAGGAAGCCGTAACTGCTTCTATTGACAATTTAAATGTATTTTTTAGGTAAATTGGAAATCGAATAAGACTTTTTCGTATAAGTGTAATCTAGTATATCGATGTATGTCCGATTTTTTCTGACGAATAGCTTAAGAGGTGATGTTAGCCAAACACTTCAGTTATTACTATTATTTATATTTTACAAGTATTAAATTCAAGAAGCTGCCAATATGTTACTTTCAAAATTATACATTCATTTAAAAAAATTATTCACAATTAAATAAAAAAATATGTTGATATTATGAAAATAAATTTTATATTAGTGTCCTTGATTGGGTCATACTTTGTTTAAAAAAAAAGATACTAAATAACTTTTAATACAAAAGCATATCTAAGCAAGCAACGTTTAGTTGAAGAAGTCGATATTAAAAGTAAGTTGCCTTGTTTGGTCTCTCTTATAACCTGAAGAAATCAGTATCATTGTATTTATAATAATAATAAACTTTTACAATAGATTTTATGTTTAAAATTTTAAAAGTGTATCATGTTATATTCAGCACGAAGTCTGTATACATAAATGTTATCCTGGGTATAAATATAAGGTTCTATACGATAAATATTTAAAACATCACAGGTCAACGGTCAAAGGTTAAAATCTTTATAGAGTAAAACTTAATAAAAGTTTGAATAGAAAAACATACTACATAAAACAACGTTTTTCCTGTTTATTTTCTTTTTTACTTTTACTTCCAATTAATAATTCAAACCATCAACTTTGATGAAACTTAATGTAAACGAATTGAATTTCTCCCTACTGTGTACATTTCCACTGTAACGGGAATTGAAAATGTATCATGTATATACATTTATATCAAAACTTTCTTCATAAGTTACACTTTTATCCAAAATTAAATTGGCTGTAAAGTCAAAAGTAGAACAGCAAGCTTCCAATTCGAGCAAAACAACAAATGAATTATAATAAAACGGTTTAACAAGAATCAAATTTAGAAAGAAAAACAAATTTATTTTTGATATTAACTCGTTCTATATAAGCAGTGGCAGAGGAAAAGCAAGAAGATGCACAACTCACAAGTGTGCTAAAATATATGGACGTTATGAATAAATAAACAATAATATTGGTAGTTTAAATGCACTTTACAAGTTCGTGTAGATGTTTCTCATTACAGGTGAAAGAGATAGCGGTATTTGAAGAGCACGTCTGGCCCATGTAAAGGATCACATCCGATACGAAAACACTCATTCGCTGACCGACCGTTGAAGTTACTGTTATATGATAAAGAAGTTAAAATTATATATATACTTACATACGTATTGTAAATGGTGAGTTTTTTTTGTATTTATCTTTTTCATAATTAATATAAAAAAAATATATCGGTATTTTTATCAATTTAATTATCATTTTAAATACAATATAAAAAATTAGTATGTAGGTGTATTAATTTTAAATAAATTTGGAAATGCTTCCATGTAAACTGCACATGTGCGCAAGCGCACTTTTGTGACATATACACCGATTTTATTCTTTGCGGACGATAATTTCTAGGAATATATTGAAAATATATAAAAAAGTAAAAAAAAACACCAAATTTTGTATTAGTACTGAATATATTATAAAAATAAAAATATTACATAGAGTTAATAAAAAATATTAAAAAAAATAAAAAAAAACTGTTAAAAATATTGTTCATTTGATTTTTAAGTATACAATATCATCGTACTTCCTATATTTATAATTATATGTATTACAATATTTAATATATAAAAAAATCTTTTGATATAAATGTACATATATGTATAAATGTAGTTTAATGATAAACTTAAGTGGACAGGCATGTGAATTAATGATGGCTTATGCTGTCATCACTACCAAACAGACAATGTTAAGAATTAAATACGTTTAATATATTCGTATTACTTAAAAAGGAAAATATTTTTATACCACGATTTTAAAATATATCCTTTTACCATTTAAAAATTAAATATCAAAATTTATATGAAAAAGTATACTTATATGTATAAACTTTCGAAAGTAACAAAGTTATATTTGTGCGTTGTTTGCCCTAAAAACGCGGATGACAAAAACATCGTTAAATTACTTTATATGATTTATTTTTTGTCTTATGACCTGGAAACACAAATGAATTCCAAAATCATAAAAAGTTTTTAAAGATAAATATATTGATAATAGTTTTATGCTAGATTATATGTAGGTAAGTCATGAAGAGATGCATATCTCAATCTCGATATATAAAACGAATTTAATTTATTTTACCAGACGTTGTGTTTGAGAGTTCGAGACTGTGTTTAATATTTAAAAAATTTCCTATAATACTATTTTCATTTGCAGATAAGATGCGACGTCTAATTTATACAGCCTTGTTGCTAAACACATTATTATATACAAAAGCAATAGACATCTACGAAGAAGACGATACGGTCGACGGAGAAAATGGACCTTATGATATACCTAATAACATAGAAAATAATGCAAACGTTCGAAGTTTTAGAAACTCTCGTATACTCTGGCCGTATCCTTTAAACAACAAAAGTGATCCCATCAAGGGTAATGAGGAGCCTAGTTCAGACGAAAATGTACTGCATTTGTCCAAACTTAAGAATGGAAATAGAAAAGCAAGGTTCGGATATTGGTCCTACCCTCAGAGTCCTATAGTGGATATTATGATGCAAACCGTAGCCTCGAATTACAATCCCACGAATGCAAACCACCCATTTGATTTTTTGAGAGATTCATATCCATTGCCAAAAGGTAAGACATAGTCATGTTCACAAACCTTCACTAAATTGTTAAAAAAACGAAATTCGGAACAATTAATTAATTAATTAACTTTGCTTAGATAAGTGATAAGAATACGAGATATTTTTAATTAGTTATTGTTTTGAATAAACCTTGAAGTCATATTATGTTAAATTGTTATTTACATATTTCTTATTTGATACTTGAACCACTTTTTTGTATGTGACTTGATTTTACATGTACTCACTTTACTTAGCTTTCTAGAATGGGTCTTAGACTTGGCACAGCTAACATACTAACTGTTGATATTGGTTAGAAATATTACAGTTCTAAATCTTCTTTAGATGTATTTCATGTATATTGTATATTAGGTTTTGGGACAAGTAGAATAAGGCGGGATTTAAGTTGTTTTTTTTTTCTAAAATACAATTTCTTTTGCAGGTTACTATGAGCCTTTAAATGAGTATGACTACGTAATAGTCGGTGCTGGTTCTTCTGGCTCAGTGCTAGCAGCTCGTCTCACTGAAGATAAGCCAAGGGCTTCTGTCTTGCTGATAGAAGCTGGCAAGCCGGAGATGTTACTCTCAGATATTCCCGCTTTAACCCAATACCTACAACAGACAGATTATGTCTGGCCATATACTATGGAACATCAACCTGGTGTTTGTATGGGTGAGTAATTTATAAAGAAAATACAATATTTCTTACTATTTATTAATAAAAATATTTGCATATGCTTGAAAAGGCAAAGATTCAAAGTATCTTTATTTAATCGTAATGAAGTGTATTTAAAATTAAGTTATGCTAAGTTGGTTATTTATATTTAAGTGAAAAGTACGTTTCAAAAACTAAACAAAAGCGCTGGACAGAAAAGACGTTTTCATTTCAGTAAATGAAATCTTCTCTTAGTAACTTTTAGTTTGAATTTGAACTCAACACTGACGTTATGAATCGCCTTTCCTTTCCATCCGTTACTTCGAAATGCTAAACGAAGCAAATTTTTAACGGTAGATATTTGAGTGTGTTAAATGTCAAATTAACCCTAATTTTGAGTTTATTATCGGTGGCATATGATAATTTATCTTCAATCTTATTGTATAAAAACTATATCAGTTACATTGATGTGCTCAAAAAATAAATAAAATTGATATTATATATCGTTTTCGTCTTCAGTTACGTACAAATGCCTGTTACGTACAAACGTACAAATGCCTCTAGTGTTATTAGTGAGGCTTCAATTCAGCGCGCTTATATTATTGATCTTCAAACCGTCTCAGAATCAGAATGCCGATAAACTAATAAATTACTTATGCATTGTTGTATTGCCAAAGCTTATACACATATATGTAAACAAAACATAATGGTACAGTCTAATAGGTAACTCCTATTAATTTGCCTCTTAACGCTCTTTAAAAGGATTTACTGAAAGATTTTCTTTTTTCTTTACTTCTACTATTACTACAATAGGTAGTCTACAGATAACGCTTTTCGCGAGGCTACCTATTAAAAAGCATTACAAAAATGTGTACATTCCATTGAACATCAAAATCTCCCTTAATAAAGTAACTATAAGTAGTTAAATAATTCTGACAATACATTTATAATATATATTGGCTTCCCATGTATTCTATTCTTTAGTTTTGATCGTTTTTGGTCTTTGGATAGGTTAAACGAGGTGATCATATACATAATAATAAATAGCCATCGTCATCCTTGACCATTTGCCAGCTTTAAAGGATTATTTGACTTAAAAGCAACAGTTAACGTTCTATAAAACCCATAAATAGTTTTCAAAGCTATTGCTACTGTCATTAGACATGTTTGTCAGTTGATTCTAGATAAATTTTTTTAGGGATCATTTGAACAGAATACTTACTTTTCTTTTTCTAAGTAGCCGTCAGCAGTCCAGTTTTTATATTCCTAGCTGAGAAGTCTTTTATATAGCAGCCCTCTTTATTCACTTAATATTTATTATAAGCAATATGTAATGAGAATTAGGATATGAGTTCGATGTTTTTTGTCTTCGTCAGGAATGAAAACAATTTAACCAAACCTAGGTGTTGATGCATATCATTTATGCAGTAGTTCCTTGCGAAGTTCTGCTCAAATGTGCATATTCCGTTAAAATCTTATTCTTTTTATTAACAGCGATTTTTTATTTAAACAAACCTAATATTTTCGAATGTACTATGCGATTTTTGTTGTACTAAAAACGACATACTCTAGTCGTTTCAGTTGCTTTACAATAATCGCGAAAAACTCGTGGTGTATCCGAACATATTAGTTGTATTTAAATGAACATTCGAGAAAGTCTGAGATTTCAATATGATGATAAGTGTTAATACAGGTCAGGTTCGGATCATTTATAAAGCAAACTGGAATATAACTGCATTTAATTTGTATTTAACCGTTATAAATGAGCGAAAACCTCTTTTCTTTGAATTAATTTATCGCAAGAATTATTCATTACAATTAATAATTCGCAAGAATTATTACAACAATTTTTAAATAAAAATGACCTAATTCCGTCTAGGCATTTAACCGTATTTAAACATAGAAAAAGCAGTATACTTTTTTTATCATTGCGTTTATACCGAAACTTAAAGCTTATTGAGAGTATGATGTTTGCAAGTCATACTATAAAAAGTGACACGAAAATGCGGCACGAATAGTCTTAATGATGTGATGATCACAAAAGCAAGCATAGAAACCAATTTAAACAGAACCTAGCTACGAACATAACTGTTAGCTATTCGAGACCAAGTACAATTTATCACGTACATCAAGTACCGTTGAGTGTCCTTATTTGTACAAATAGTAAATATTTAACACATTTTCTTATTAGTTTAACGTAAATATCTACTTCTATGTTATTACTATAACTGTATCTACTTTATATGTTTTTAATACTCGAAATGTTATGAACAAAATAGACTTATATTTGTTGCAAAAATACGTGATTTCAATAAATAAAATAGTTAGTATTTTGTTAAATATAATCATATATTTTATTCGATGTTTATAATTAAATTTCTAAACTTAGATAAAATTTTGCTTCTGAATTACTTACATACAACTGCATGCTCTCGGGACCACTAAAAATGCCACCAACAAGAGCTTTACCTTTGGGGTTTTCTGAATGTCTATCCAATTTTAAAATACTGAAATATAAAACATATCATATCATTTGAAATTCAATTGTCTTGTACTTCTTTAAGGATTAATGCATAAAATATAAGCAAACGAATAACATAATGAAAATTATAACTTAGTATATACACTAACTATGCATTTTTTTTAAGTTTTTGAGACTATTATTCCTTGGATATGTTGTCAATGTTGAATACACAAATCAAGTAGTTTTATATTATGAGCAGTTTACTTCGCTATACAAGCACTATTGAATGATTTCTATTCTTAATTTGTTTGCGTTTCATTCAAAGACAACATCAAGGTACTTAAAGGAATTGCTATGTATATAAAGGAGCGCGGAAGCAAAAAGAAAACAAATAATAAAGACATAATACATCGTTTTCATGACTTGTTATTTTTATGCTGATTTTGTTTTAGCTGGAAATAGCTGGAACCATATAAAATGAACATTCATATATTCTCAGGCAAATGAGATTACACAAAATTGTGGTTTATATCGTTTAAAATTCAACTCTTTCAAATTATTTTTATAAACTCAAATAAATAACACTTTTGAAAATATTTTTCTATTTGATAGGATAAGTTGGCAACAGAAAAAAATCTGTATTTTATACTGAAATAAGTTATATTTTTGAATAATTTTGTCAAAATATTTGCCAGTTATATGCGTTACGTTGACTTCCTTTGCCTGTTTCAATGATTTAATTTTTAATACAGACATTTTCTTTGGTTTCAGGCAGCGAAGAGCAGCGATGCTATGCACCTAGAGGCAAGGCAATTGGTGGTAGTAGTGTCACAAATAATATGTTCTACACGCGAGGCAGGCCACAGGATTGGGATAGAATTGCAGCTGACGGAAACTTTGGATGGTGAGACTTAACGATAACTCAAAATCATATTTAATATTCATAGATTTATCTGAAAAAATTAGTCATATTTAGGAAGACTTAATATCTCTAAAAATTAATTTTTTTTTCGTATTTTATACTAGCTTTCCGCCCGCAGCTTCGCCGCGTGGAGTTCGGTTATATCGCGTTTCCAAGAGAACCTTTCAAAAGTCTGGGATAAAAACTATCCTATGTTCTTTCTCAAGGTCAACTCTATCTCTGTACCGAATTTCATTAAAATCAGTTCAGTGGTTTAGGCGTGAAAGCGTAGCAGACAGACAGACAGACAGACAGACAGACAGACAGACAGACAGACAGAGTTACTTTCGCATTTATAATATTAGTAGGGATCTACATGATATATTACATGACTAAAATAATAGTTGTAATACAGAGATGATAATCTTGACAATATGACATCGATTAAATAACAACAATCAAATAATAATGAACACGCAGCAAATTGCAGACGTTTCTTATATATGTATGTGTTTAATGAACAAAACATTTATATGTACAATATGCCACTAGACGTAAAATAATTACAATATTTGTAAAACCCCTTAAGAAAAATAATAAACACAGTTAATGGTCGTAACATTAGCAATTTACAAAGAAAGCTGTACCGCAAGTCGACATTTCTTTATAATTCAGTCACCTCAGTGACGTTATCTTATGTCGTAAAAGGGCTCGTCGTAAATTTCTATCAGAATCATTCCACATTGTAACTTTCCACGTGACACATATATATTTTATATGAAAAAGGTTTATTTCTATGCTACGTGCTAATAAATATAGGTTGAACTTTTCTCGCGCGTTCTGAAATGGAAATAATCAAGTTATAAAAGCTTATAACTTTGATTTCAATAGCTCAATTATATAGAAGCAAAATTATTTTATACAAACATTTTTCCTGTTTACTTTCCTACGATGTTAATTTTTTTTAACACTTTTTTTCAGGTCATACGAAGAAGTATTGAAATATTACATGAAATCTGAAAGATCCGAACTCAAAAAATATAGAGACCAAGCCTATCGCGGCCGTGATGGAGAACTTACAGTAGAGAACGTTCCATTCAAGTAAGTTACTAAACCATTACTGTCTAACCTAATCTGCAAAGGCCTTGTAATTTTACATATTTTATGGACTTTATCTTACGTTACTGAAGCAAATATTATAAATATTTTGATGTATTTTCAGAACTGGTTTAGTTGAAGCATTCCTTGCAGCTGGAAGGATGTTAGGTCATCCAACAATCGATTACAATGCTCCAGATCAACTAGGTTTTGGCTACGTTCAAACGATAACTAACAGAGGTCATCGTCTTAGTACTGCTAAGGCGTTCCTGCATAGACATAAAGGGCGCAAAAATCTACATATATTGAGTGAAGCTAAAGCTACAAAAATCATAATTGATCCACAAACAAAGAAAGCTTCAGGAGTTGAATATATAAAGAATAACATTAAGCATAGAGTTAATTGTAGACGAGAAGTTATTCTATCAGCTGGACCCATTGGTTCACCTCAATTACTTATGCTCTCGGGAATAGGCCCCAAAGAACACTTACAAACTCTGGGAATACCTGTTGTTATGGACCTTAAAGTTGGAAGAACTCTTTATGATCACATCGGTTTCCCTGGTGTAATATTTAAGCTAAAAAGTACTAATGCTAGTTTATTGGAACCCAAGGTTGCCACAATACCAAACTTAATGCAGTGGCTTCAGTTCGGCGATGGATTACTCGCTTCACCTGGTGGAGTTGAGGCAATTGGATATCTAAAAACAGCATTATCAGAAGACCCTGAGTTGGTTCCCGATATTGAACTTGTAAGTATGGGTGGTTCTATCACTTCAGATTCAGGAGGTGCGATAAGAAGGAGTATGAGAATATCTGAAAATACATATGCTCGAGCATTTCACTCATTGAATGGTATGGATACTTGGCAAGCTATACCAACACTTCTTTATCCCCGATCCAAAGGATATATGGAACTGCGAGATACCAGTCCATTTTCACATCCAAAACTATACGGAAATTATTTAACTGACCCAAAAGATTTAGCGACATTAAAAGAGGCAGTGAAACATATAATTCAATTGGGAGAATCTCAACCATTCAAAAAATACGACGCAACATTACATTTACCGCAATATCCCAGTTGCTCAACATATCCCTTAGGTTCTGATCCTTACTGGGAATGTGCTATTAGAACCTTGATCGTATCTTTCCACGAGCCTATCGGTACGTGCAAAATGGGACCATCAACTGATTTTGAAGCCGTTGTAGATAATAACCTAAGGGTGTACGGCATTGAAGGCTTAAGGGTTGCCGATGCTAGCGTTATTCCTAGACCCATTGGCGCCAGAACAAACGTTCCTGAAATTATGATTGGAGAAAAGGCTGCTGATTTGATAAGGAATACGTGGTCAAATAACGTCTAAAACTCTAAAATAAGATATTAGCTTTAATATATTTATTTATTATTAAATGTTCCTAAATTTAATCTCGCAATTTATTTGTTTTCCACACACCTTATAAACAATACGAATTCAATCTTTTTAATAGATTACTTTATCAAAAATTTCAGCTTTTTCTGTGTTTCCATTGGCTAATTGAAAGTGAATATAATGAAAATGAAAAGTCATCGCTTGATTTTGCTCCAGATTTAATAGGGTGGCTGCGAGAGAGGGTTTTGCGCTGCGTCATTTTGACCCCAAATAATGAAACAGGTTCGCAAACATAATAGATGCATTAAGGCTACAAAGCGTGACATTTTTAATAAGAAATATTTTGAAATTAAGAAAAACTTCAATATCGTCTTAAACTTAATTTAAAAAACATTAGTTAAGTCATTAAGGCCATTATACAGATTACATACTTTAAAATAAATATTTCGTTTGTATTGTAAATTCAGGCCAAGTTTAAATAAAAATATAAACAAAGTTAGAACCGTAGTGTTTGTAGTAGAAATGAAATCATTTCATATATGTGAACACTGTACACCTAACCTAATTTAACTTCAAAATGAAAACAGTCAGGAAAAAAAAAATGATTAAAAATTGATTTTTTGGTAACTACATATTAGACGTCGGACCATATGATGAAAATTATTTCTTCAAAATTATTATAAGATAAGAAGGAAATGTAATAAAATACTTTTCGTTTCAGAATTTTTTTAAGAATTAAATATCTGCAATATACACTATAAACCAGTACTAGTTTCTTTAAAACCAACATTTAACAGGATACGTCATTAAAAACAAATGTCAAAACATTTCAAAAACTTCCATTTTATACACAGAGACTTGAATCGCAAAAACTGTGTTACCTTAAGCAATCAAGTCCTATTTTTAGAAGCGATAAACCATTCACAAAATGCTCCTGAATATAATGAATAACAAAATGTCCTCCGGGAGGGTGTATTAGGCACCGTGACTGACCCATCCCCCTCACTTTCATGAAACATAATTCACATTAAAGAAAAATATTATTTTTTTAACTGATTCACATCACACAAAATTCTTCAACCCCCTCGTAATAACTCTTTATAAAGTATGCGAAATCTTTATTGCTATATAATTTGAATATTTTAATGAGAATTCGTTAAATTTAAGATATAAATTAAGATTGTAAAGTCTCTTTCTAACTTAAAGAGTGTATGAAACGATACCAAGTAGACTGTCATATTCAAATATGGTTATTATTAACTTTTCATAGTTTGGTATAAAATTATTATTACATGCACAGATGACAGACGACTGAAATGTGAGTCTCTGTGCCTTCATAAGCATCAAGTTGTCATTACTAGTGGTTTTCGAACGGGTTAATAATTATAAAGCTATACTTACAAATCTTCGTTATCAAAATACTCAGTCGTATGATGAGTTTCGAGATTAATAGTTGAAAAATGATTAGGGATTTAAAATGTGATAGATATATGAGAAAATAGCGATGTGTGTTCGAGTTTTGGTAGTAAGATATTCAGTACAATGAATGGTTGGAAGCCAGTCGGCTACGCTCCGCCGAGCGCGCGAACGTTGATCGGAACGGGTCAACAAGTGGACAATCATTTGGTTCAACGGAAATTGTGATCCGACGGAGTGGATAAGTGCGATAATTATTGGATTTTTTATTAAGCAAAAAAATATTTTTTTACCATAAAAAAAATTAATGTTCATGCTATTTTATATTAAACTATACATCACGAAACAGCATATTGTTGTTGCTGTTGTAATAAATAAAAACAAATAATATAAAACTATAATATTTAAACTTAATTCAAGCGTTAAAAAAATACAGTTAATATACATAATTAATATAATATAGTATTCGTGATTGCTTCACTCCGACTAATTGCAGTGCGAGCCAATTAATAATTAATAATACATTATACCCGCGACACTGTTCACTAGTTGTTAAAGTCCATGACAAAATATATTAAAACCCTTTTATACATAATATTTTTTATTTAAAAAACTCTTAAGACGAAATATTTTTCATATTTTAAGTACTCATATGGGCGTCATTATAAAACTTCTTTACAATTGAAAAATCTTTTACTATAGAATGATAGAAGACTCCACATTGAAATGAATTCTAAACGCCTTTTGATGTTGGCCATTGCATGTGGACTGCATGACAAGTTAAACAGCCTGACCCGCGAATGCATACAAATATGTAGCTCGTATGTAATGCGGTTTCATTATTTTGCTAAGCTTTTATAAATAGGCGCTTATCAATGATGAATTACACCATAATACATATAATAGTTATATTTAGTAAAGTTGTACTTACTAATAGTAACTAGGGAAGTGTTAACCTTTGTGTAGAACTGATTTCCCTTTTTGGGTCTAGTTAAAAAACACAATGTACTGGATAAATGACTTTTAAATTAAGATTGATAGACTTAGTCCGGCCGTTTCATTTTTGATTCTTATAGATAAAAGTGATGTCCAATTGATTAATGAACGTAGCGTCAATGAAAAAAAATTACAATAATGGAAGGTTACTCACAGGTTTCGAGGTGTTAAAATTATATTCATTACGAGTAAAAAACAAGGTAAAAATGTTTTTTAACTTTTTTTCGTCTACTAACAAGATAAGTGCACGCTTTGAATGAAAGGCACAAATAAATCATGAGAGAGAATTGCGGCGCTGAATTAAAACTTTCTCATAAATGTTTTTAAAGTGAGTTCGAATTAATTTTAGTTTCAGAATGACTATATTTCCTGTTAAAGCTACAAAATATTTTCATCTCTGGTGTTAATTTTAACGGAGTACAGAAACGTTTTTCCTAGTAATAGTTTCAGTTCAGTCTTTTACGGAAAATTAAACACACTCCTTTGAAACAGAAACAAAGTAATCAACGCTAATCTTTTAGAAATAATAAAAAGAAATGTAATTTGTTGTGGTCTAAAAATGTTGAAATTTTAATTTAACATTCACGACTGAAGTAATTACAATGGGACCGATAAAGAAAATCGGATATATATGAAAAAAAGCTCATGTTGACTTGTATTAAGCGAGTTGTAAAACGACCTTTATAAATTTGACGTTTTATTGAAGTGGAAACAATACAGTGGCCCGGAAACAGGTAATTTAGTTAGGTCCGTTACAATCAGTCTCGAAGTCCAACCGAAAAAATAGGACTAACAAAGACGAGAATTCACCCAATCAGTACATTGAATGGTACGGAAAAAATGTTTTACTAGGAGCAATTAGAATTGGATACCAGCAAATTAACTTACAACACTAATTGTCTCCTGTAGATAGTCTTTTAATTAGAAATTAAGTTAAGTTTTATTGAGTCGACAATTGCGGTACATTAAATCTAGTTCTCATAAAAGCGAGTAATAAAATTATGGATTTCTACAAGCGCTTTATTTAAATCAATTTACGGGTGCGTTGTAATGATAATTTTTATAATATAATATGTTTAGTTACACAACATCACTTCATCTATTACTAAGACAGTATAAATGTAAAGTCTTCGTTCGTTTAATAGCGACACCAGTATTACGTCTGCATTTAAACCAGATAAAATATTTTAAACTTGTCAGAAACTGACAATTTTTCTGTGGAAATAGAATTCAGATTCTTTCTTTCTTTTTCGTGATATAATTTTCATGATATGGATTTTTATAGCTGGACCGACGTTTTATTTAAAGAAGACTACATTTTGCTGAGAGCTAACCACACATATGTGTTCGAGCTACACCTATAAAATCATAGACCGTAAGTACTCAAACATACTGAATTTAACAACTTATCCTCTTCACGTATACCGTACACTAATCATGCAATTATCGCCAAAAATTTTGCTATGATATAAAAAAGCTTTTAGGTTGTCGTTTTTGGCATATCGTAAAAATATTATAAAATCTATTTAGTAAAAAATATAAAAATGATTCATATATTTCTAATGTTAATATATACTATACAATTACATGACGTACATACAATGTCTTTAACATTTGTAGTGTGGTAGCAATGATTATTGATAGATGTTTTTTCTAACTTAATCTGCGTAGAATTTGGATTTGGGTCCAATGAGATTAGTAGTAATAAAAAATATCTAACTACGCGAAGTAATTACTTGATCTATGTATATTATTTGAAAGTTTCGTTAATCCTTTCCAGCAGGTTTTAACAAACATTCATAAATCTATACGAAAGTTCGCGCTTATAAAATTTGTAAGAACCATTAGTGAATGTATTAAAATAAATAATTAATTAATTTTTCCTATATTTTTTTCGACTCCAATTTTGTTGCTAATTTAATAGTTGAAAATCAAAGTCAAGTAAGTCAAAGTAATAATTTTTGGGCTAACAAGTTTCAAACTAATTTATTTGAAAAAATTAAACTAATATACAATACATGGAATACTGGTGGCTAGTTGTAGAATATGATTCATTGTATAGGGTTATGGTAGTAAAAAAAATATGTATGTCCGTAATTCCACAAAATTTTATGTAAATTATTATCAAACAGCTAAACCTGTATGATAATTCGCGAATTGATAGATAAACGGCAACACTCCTATATGAAACTGCGGTCTGCGGCCTTTTACGCTCGCTACCATTTAATTGCTGAAATTTAAAGGATATTCAACAACAAATGCGTATTAAATATTCGAAAACATTAAACATTTTATTAAGAGACTATAAGGACTTCTAGTTTATTATTCAAGAAGAGCATATAGTATACTATATTAGGAAACTCGTTTAACCTTTTCGGCCTGCCTTTCTATGATGAGAAAAAATATTCCAAATAGCTAATAAATTGTCTTATAATTGTTCGGTAACAAACGGTTGATATTAATAACTACTAGTAACTTTGTTTTAACTCATACAATCTATTATACAAAACATAAATGCAATACCAGCTCAGAAATACAATTTAAAATGTAATAACGAAACATTTACGCGAGCGAAAATGTTTGAAAAATCTAAAGCCACGTAAAACCTAATAGGCTTTAAAGAAATTTCATTTCATTTTTATTATTAGAAGTTATAAATTAAATTACAGCTTTAGTATAAATTGATACAGTTGAAAATATATGGATATGTCTGAACAGAACGTAACGAACTGTAATGTCAGGAAGTTGTGTGGTGAAAAATAATCTTTTCTTCTATATAAAGTACAGGGCAACGCCTAGCTCTGGTCACG